CAGGTATTATGATCGAGTTACAGCCTCGATCATTAACTATTATCGTCTATTATACTTTAGTCATGCTTCCTCGATGCTTCCTTCTTCCTCTCCCTAATGTTCCAACCTAATTAAAGTTAAAGTTCGAAGGGTCCAAATTAAATATTGCTTTCTCTTACTTTGCACCCTTTAACATTCTAGTCCAACATACCGGCCTTGCGGTTGAACGCTTGAGGTGGCTATTTTCCAATCTTGTTTGTATTACGGGCTCTTTGGAGGAGAGAACTAATTGGTAGCATGGTCTGCATGGAAATGGGAAATCCCATGTCTCATACGTAAGTTAGGTACTCTAGTAGAGGAGAGGATGATGGGGCAAAGTCCCAGTCAACTTGCCACACCTTCTAAAGCGCAATCATTGAAAAAGAGCGCGGCATACCAGGGATCCTGATTTATCTCTAATATCGATACTTTAAAAATCTTGTAAGGATAGAACAAAGATGTTTTTCCGTGGTCGAAGGCATGATACAGGGTCTTTAATTTGTGGGTATAGATGCCATTTGGTGTTTGCAGGCATGTTGGAGAAGTGCGGTGCTGGAGCCAAGTTTAATATCATGAAACATTGATTACCTCGAGTACTTTCAAGCTTATTTGTCTACGAGGTTCTCACTTCAGATTCAGTTCTCACAACTATACCTCCAAATATATCGAAGTAACAACCCACTTAATGTCCATCCCCGACTCAACACGTCCTCTTCCGCAGCATGACCATATTCAAGAGCCTACGCAACCCACATTTCATCAAAATATATCAGTCCCGATGCATAATCCCGATGCTCATGCATTGTGGTTAGAGGCAGAAATTCAGAAATTAAATTTGTATTCAAATAGCACTCCAAGTATTAGTGCGATATACCCCAGTATGTAATCAGAAACAACGTAATAGCGAGGGATACGAGGCACCTTTCAGTTCGCGGTATTCTGGCAAACCTGCAAAACAATATCTTGGAATTCAACGCTTCAGGCTTCATTTTAATACAATGTAAATCCTCCGCAAAAGATAATCTCCACTATCTCTGCACAACCTCAACGCCAAAAATACATACCGAACGCCTTTCCCTCGCCCATCCCTCCACTAGAAGCAATGAAGATCCATCTACTAAAACCACTTCCCTGTAATCCCACCAAGAACCATATTTCGCTTCTGCTTCGAAACGTACTTGTTCACATCGTCTGCCCACCCTTGGCTATTCTCTAACATCTTATCTGTGCTGTCGCCCATGATATTCAGTTTCTCCGTCCGTTCATTCAATTGTCTGGTCATGTAGTCGCCCCATCCTTCTGTGGAAACCGTACCAGGTGGTGCCCGACTTGAACCCTGGCCGCTTGAGCGCGCCCTGTCTTCAGCTGCGGCCGCTGCCATCATGCGTTTACTTGGCGGTCGGTCTGGTCCACCGATGAGCAGATCGAGATCAGTTGGGCTGACATATTGTGTGCCTGCGATCCATTGCAGGTTGGAGATCGTCGGGCGAGGAGGAATCAAAGCTTCGGGGTTGAAGATCTTGTCGTTGGACTTGGGGAGGCCATGACCGGTGCCCCAGACGCTGAGCATGGCTATTTCTGAAGGGCCGGTCCAGCCAAATATATCACCGGATGTGGTGACGATTGAGTTTGTAGTTCTAGTTTTATCAAGCATGGTAAGAGGTGCGACGCGGATTTCCTTGAGAGCTGGAAGGGAGAAGGCTCGTGTTGTACCGTCTCCGAAGACGCCCACCAGAGCGTGGCCACGATCTTCGAAGTCTACTACGTTTGCAGCGTCGCAGAGGAAGTCATCGAACGTCTTGTGAGCCCCTTTTGCGGTTGCCGGCTTGAAGATGCGGACTTCTGTCTGGGTAACTTAAAACAAGTTAGCATGGGTTGGAACTAATCATAAAGAGTGTTTACCAGCTACAAGTGTGCCATGGGTCTGTTGGCCTGTTCGGAGAGCCCCAACAGCGGCTCCAGTTGCCGGCGCAGGTCTTCCAGTATCGGCAACAATCGGGGAGATGGAGATAATCCTGTCTGCTAAAGCAGAAACACCAGCGAATTGAGCAGTGTAGCCTCCATTTTGCTGGGGAAGGATCTTGAGAGTGATGACCTTGCCGAGATTCGTCCCCACGAAGCATGCAATACTGGAGTAATTGTCTCCTTCAAGAGTCATGACTCCGAATTCGATGGTAACTGCCCAGTCTGGTCTTCCGGAAGTCTGACTACTTCCTTTCTTCATGAAACTGCTACGCTTGTCGGACTTCACGAAGTCGGTCATGGTAGCACTGAAGATGACGGCTGGGCCACGGAGATCGATGATCGACAAGAAGCCCCCTTCGGAGCCCATAGCTACAAAGCCAACATCTGACATCTTGACTGCAGTGATGGGACCTTTTGCCATGTCATACAAGATAAATGGTTGCAGACCTTCCTTCAGCGATGACTCCGCACGAGAAGTAATGTCTGTAATGCCACCAGGCTTAGTCTGTGTAGCATTTGGTGCCTCTCGTCCGAAAAGCTTATTAGCTCCCCATCTGTAGACTACCACTTCACCAGTAGCGGTACCAACAGCCAACTCTCCTGTGCTGGATCCCATACTCAACGAAGTAATATTTACGTCGTCGTATCGGTCGAGAGCTTTTGCAATGTCTACTTGCAATGTAGCACTGTTCTCAATTTCATCATCATGACCAGCATCCCAGATCCGAACTGTGCCATCTCCATGGGCCATCTGGATAATATTGCGCGCCTCATATCTTCTCAGATTCTTGACACCTTCTGCACCACCACGTACTAATTGGGGACCTTGCTGACGGTTCTCAACCATACCTAGCCATCGTGTACGATCCACTGGAGTCATCGACATGGAAGTAGCGAAAGGATGAACGAATGAAACGGAAGGATGCAGTTGATTGGTAGGCGATATGGGGTATCCGCTTGGGAAAGACAATGTGATGAGCTCTCCCGAAGATAGGAGTGCAATGACAGCGATTGGATCTTGAGCGCCAGCAAAATGAGGCGAAGTGCGGGGAATAAGACAGAAATCAACGATTTCAGCGCCTGGTGGTGTGGGAAGCAGATGTGTTTTCTTCGCTTCCAAATGTGTGGAGAGGATCTGCCACGTTGAAGTGGAATAGACTGGAGTCGGGCCTAGCTCGAGGAACGAGAGCCCCTTTTCTGTGACGGTGGTTGGCATGCCACCAGCAATGAGGATTCCAGTATCATCTGGGTTGGCCTTACAGCACCAAGCAATTTTGGAGAACGGCTCCTTTATGGCAAAAGTACCAGGTGTATTCCCAAAACTGTTAGATTGCTGTCCTGGCTTGTCAACATGCGAGTCTGACAGGGTCCTTGCCATCACAACGCGACCATCCTTGGGATCCCAAAATACGAGACTTTCATCATTGTACGCCGTCCCAACAAATGTGCCAGTCGGATGCCAGAAAACATGTACCAATTGCGGCTTCCGTACGGTGTTGTGTGACAAAGGGTCGGCATTTCCACCAGGAGCTCCCACAGGTACCTCGTACTGAAAGTACTTGATGGGTTTGTTCTGCTTGAACGAGTATATCACAGCTCCCTCTGTGTATCCGATCAAGAGCTGGCCAATATCCCGAGGATGTAATTGCATAGAGACAATAGACATCAGTCTAGATCTTGGACTTCGTTCCCTCCAGAAATTCGGCAGTCGTAGAGGGGCCAACTTCTCCCTGTCCAAATCGTATGCAATAATCTCTCCATTTTGAAGCCCTATCAGTGCCCAGTCAAGCATGGGATCTGTGACCAGCGTAGTCACTATTCCTGGTGGCGTGTATGATGCCAACTTCTTCTGATGTACCAGGTCCCATATTATGATTTCATTCTTCGAATCGAGGCTGATGAGGCGGTCGGAGCAGAACTGGAGGGTCTTGACAGAAGCTCGGCGGGGGTAATGTGAAGGTGACTTGAACACGCCTCTGTCCAAAGACATATATCTGTCCGCTTCCAAAATTCGACTCGTTTGTGCCTATGGCGAGGAGAGATTGTATGGGATCGTATGCTAAAGACCTGGGTGGGGAGTGAGGTTAGCAGTGCTGGTGGTGAGCTTCCGCGGGGTCCGTCGAGGCTTCAAACATACCCAATCTGGGAGTTGATTCCATATCGTGCCTGGTCATCTGGAGCAAAAAGTTCTGGCAAAATGCCAGCGGATAGATCATTCTGGATACCAGCTTGCTTTCCACGTAGGAAGCCAGCCATTTTGATTTTGACGAGGTGGGCTGCAGTAGTTGGCAGTGTTGTTGATATGGCGAGGACCCTGGCTTCACAGCTCCGTCATCCCGCTCACCAGCTGGAAGCGTGTATGTAGGTGAGATCATGTGACCGCCAAGTCTGTTCCGGGTTGGCATTCCTGGGCGATTAACTTTTTTATCTTCTTTGTCTTTAAAGTATTGAATTCATTGGTGGGTTATGGTGCCCCATTTATTGCTTGTCTACTGGCATTCGCACGAGTTTGCATAAATATTGCCAATACAGAAGATATCAAAGTGAGCTCAACACTCCTGGTATGCAACCTCAATTTCGCATCGACCAAGATGTATTTTGTGACCTGAAGTCAATAATCAGAGTTTCAGTCCAAGTTGAATGGGTTTATTCTACGTCTTCCAATCAAGGTTTTGCTATTTGAAGCAACAGGTTGATGGGAATGTCTCCCAGGCACTGTGCACCTGCCCCTCACAGGCGTGAGATTAAAAGAGACCAATAAATATATAATGTGAAAGCTTTTGGCTACTTACATAGTACCATTAATGAAGCGTAGGGATCTGAGTTCTCTCACTCCCATTGGAACTGGCCGTTTAGAATGGCTTGCATGCCCCTCTCACTGTTTGCAGAATGCGTAATTCACTCTACCCAACCCTTATAAGTGAAGCAACGCTCGGTAAGTAAGTTGCAAAAAGGTCTACCGTAATTCGAGTCTCTAACACGAAGGTATTCTGACAAAAAAGAAGCAACGGAATGTGAACTGTACCCGGATTGAACGGGTGACCGCCTGGATTCAGTTCACACTGGAATCAGGAATGATACCACTACACCAAAGCAGTAGCATCTATGTAAGATAATGTAATCGCTCAGTTGACCCAGTGACGAGAGACAGAGGATCGCGGCGAACCAACGTTCTGCGATGCACCCAACTTCCCACATAGATAGCCCATCCTCAGAAACATACCAAGAAACTACACTGTGGCTGTAACTTTCAAGACATTGAAAAAAATCGAGTTCTGTTGAGAAGAAGCGCCGAGGGCCTACACGTTCCATGTCTTACATTGCTGCCGATAAGCATACGCTACATAAGGAAAGTCACTGCATCATTCTTAATCCCAGGCAGCCCAAGGGTCCCCGGGGGTCGAAAGAAATGCGATCAATAACTCTCCACTGTGGGTGGTGCAGTCTTTGAAACCCCATGTAGTGTGCAGTCATGATATTCCAGATCCCAATCCTGGTCTGAGTACTGGTCGCGCTGCCCAAATCGCAGCATGTATGGCCTGGGGTATGATGGGATGAATCAAACCTGTTAAGATGGACTGGTCGACAAAACAGTGAGTTCCGTGCGTGAGGCCGGCGATGTTTCTGAGTTGATGTCCCGTTTCAAGCATCCGTATGAAATCGAATCCTTGGAGATTGTCCCTGAACGTTGGAACGGGAAGAAGCTGGTCTGGCGCCGTTGCGTGCATGTGTAGAGTAAACGTAGACAAGGCATCCATGAATATAAAATCGCGTACTGCCTTGAAATATATGCCGGGGCTATCCCCTAGACGCAGAAAGTCAGTATTGAGTTCCAAATACTCGTGCCGAGCCTCATGATTTACACCAAGCATCCCACCAAGCTCTACTGGGAGGGAGTCAAATAGACCAAACCCAAGTAACGCCATGACCATGGAAAGAGAGGAAGTATTGTTATGTGCCAACAAAATCGGAAAGTCTGTGTTGGGTGTTACGAATAGGAAAGCATGGACTAACAACAACGTTTGGGAGCCGGGATGACAAAGACCCATGCATGCACATTATAGATGCTCGATTGCGGTGAAACATTAAATTCGTGTTCTTCGTTCCTCACCAAGTAGATTTCTGCCTCCTTTGTGGCATATCAAGTTGCTCAAAGTACTTTGCGCGGACGGGTACATCTAAGCGAGGTCAGAATCACAATATCGGAATCTCAAGTCCCATATCTGGAAAGGATTCAGCCATTCGTCATCGTAAACAACGATTTCTCCAAATTAAATAGTGTCAACTTTCAGAGAGGATAGTCTATCCTTCACTTCAGACTGTTTGCCAACGCCCAAAGACCAAGTCCGAGTTAGCCCTCTGTTTTCTAACTCGAGGACCTGAAATTTGGTTGTCCTTTCCTCATCACGGCTAGCATTCAATATCATAAAAGACTTTAGACATGGGCGAGATCGTACAACACTGATGTCTTTCCCGCCAACCCTCTCACCGCCATTCAACACAGTTTTTCAAAATGAAGAACAAAAACAACAAATCCCCTTCCTTCTTAGCAATTGACGATGCACACTAACCCAAGAAAGCTTATGAGAGATATTACTCCCCACCGCTGACTCCTCATACCGACCCTGCCTGCTCGGCTAGTCGAAGGCGTCGATCGTGGTGGTGTCGTAGTGGGCGTGCTGGCCACAGTACCGCCTCTAGCAGCGAACCCAACTGTAACAGCACCGCTCCTACAGCCGCAACCAATCCCTCCGGATCATCGATACGCCCTATCCTCGTATATGTGAAGCTGCTCGAGTAGTCCTCATACCACAACACAAGGGTTCGCGAGCCGTAAAGCATCAAATCGCCAACTCTGATAGAGCCGGGGTTGGAAGCTGATGTTGGGAGTGAAGTAGGTAGTTCGGCATGTTTCTCATTGCCGTTGAGTTCGGACATTTGTAGGTTCAGAGGGAGGAGGGATTGGAATTCTGAGGCGGTGGGATTGTCGAGTAGTGAAGTAGTGAAGACGGAAGAGCCGATGGTGAGGTGGAGAGCACCCGCGGAACTGCTGTTCGTGGACATCTTAAAAGTGAAGATACGCAAGTCCTGGTAGGGGACTTTGAATCGGAAGTACTGTAGCAAGGCTGGATTTGGAGTTCAGAGAATGGAGGTCGACATGTTTGGGACTTTAGGGGATGCTTCTTATATTTTGATACCCGAGTGGGCGGATGAAATCAATAACTTTGGCATACAACCCCATGTCTAGTAAAGACACCCACCATCATTAAACCATGTTTCCATCTGTATCTGGTTAGCTGAAGTCTACTTCAAGTATCAGCCTCAATGCTCTTACTAGTAAGCAGTCTGCATTAGCGCCGATTCGACAACTTGGCTACAACGAGAGTGTCTTCCTGAAAGGTGCCAAGTAAAGGTAAAATTCTGTGAACAAGCACAGGATCCCGGACTCTTCCTCCTCTATATCTTAATATTACCGATCAAATATGCTAAAAAGTTATATTTCAGAAAGGCGGATCGGCATCTCGAGATGAAAACGAAATCCCAAGGCAACTCCTCCTTCCCAGCCTTCCTAGACAAACTCACTTCATGGTCCCTGGTCACCAATATCAAGTTGCGGTGTCCATGGGATCTGAAAGTCCTCAAGAAATTGGGTCGCAATCAAAAATGATTCGCCTTTATTTGGCTCTAGTTCACGAGCATAATAACTTTTGCTCTGAGGATCGCTTCTAGCGAATGTGAGGTAGGTACAATTGCTCAGCTTCATGGCCTGCACGGCCAGTAATTATTGTCCCTTCTTTCCTGCTTTCTTTAGTCGGATTTATCTTTTGGATGAGAGTTAATGAAAATGCCAGGAGATTATCACATGACGTCGAGGCTAGCCAACTTCGTCACCGGTGAAGCGATAACTCTTCAGGTAGGTAGGTAGCCTTCGCTCCCTGAATAAAAGTCCGTTCAAAGTCGCTAAATCATTTCAGAACATTGACTTCAAGGAAAAGCCGAGCTCGGGTTTAAGCAAGCCTTAGTTTTGATCTTTAAGTGAATTGTATAAGTAGGAAAGCAATTCGCTTCATGGAGACGAATTTGGCGAGCCTCGCGTAAATGTGATCCACTGGGCCTAGGTAATGTGCCGCTGCTGCACAAACGTGCTAGCAACGCAACGAGGATTTAAAACTTCGTGTGAGATCGATGAATGCCGATCGGAACTTCATATTCGCAAGAGTCCTTCTTGGATCTCGAAGAATTGCCTCTGGCCGGATCCGAGGGGTCAATGGAGTGGGGCAGCTGTTGGAGCTTGAAAGTACTTACGTCCTCATCCAAGTAGACTTGGAGCAGGTTGTCAGTGTGATGTATCTAAAAGGCTTCTACTTCTTTACATAGATAGTGGGATGTTAATACTACTTGGAAACTCTGTATTATAGATTCATTCGTTGCTTGACCTTTTGTTGCGGTTTAAGAACCGAGCCCCATTACAATGGAAGTTCGTCTTAACGCCGAGTACTATATAAAGTAGGAGTCCTATGAAATCGTAAGGCTTGGAAAGCATGATTGAGATCGTTGTGTTCCGTGATGCAGCGCAGCGTCTTCGTTGAGGTGTCAAAAATTTATTTCTGTAATGTAACCAAATAAGAGGAAACCCCACATCAAGCATAACAACATGGCACTTTGGCGGAGTGGTTAACGCGATGGCCTGCTATTTGAAAGAAGAGCAAAGACAGCCATTTCCTTCGGGAGCGAGTGAGTCTTTAACTCCAGCTCAAAAACAGGAGGAGTAAATTACTAACAGCACTCCAGGTGTTCGAATCACTCAGGTGTCGGCAAGATCATTTTTTTTTTCTTAGCTAGACGCTCGTTCGTTAAATTGCTCTTTGTTTGGCGTCTCTTTGACAATGCTTTGTCTCAAAGACCTTTGTTCTTCAACAAATTTTTTTTTTGGGGGAAGTAATTGCATGTTATTAGTATTGTTATTTTTCTATCTTTTTTCAAGCTGCCTTCCATTGCCGTTAGGCGAGTCTGTTGCGAGGGCGGGGGCGGGCTGTCCCATGGCCTGGAGGGGTGGCTAGCTGGCGGTTCGGCTTCCGCTCTTTCTGTCCTGCATAATTGGCATCGGAGCACTAACACTGAATTAATATGTTCGATGTGTCTGCAATCTGGTAAGTACGGATGAGTGCCAACGAATTGGCATCACTATTGCTGAAAATGCTCAAGTTGGTGGGGTTATGCCGCCCGGTATCTGACGGGGTCACTCACTGACGACGCCGTTTGGCTACCATAGCAGCTTCGAATTCAGGAGGTCTCCAACCATCCTTCAAAGTTGGAGGCAAAGTCGGAGGCTAAGTATATACTCACTGTGCAAATGGAAATATCTTGATTTGTCTCCCAGATTGTCGTGAGAAGATTTTGTAGACAGATTCTGCCACCCAACCAATCAATTAGATAGAGGACAGGTGCTTCGAAGGTTTCGGTGGAAACTCAAGCGAGATACGCATCGCCATTCACTTACTGGAAAACCCAGCTATTTCGCTGCAAGTCATAGTGCAAGCATCATGTTTAGCATCGAGGTCTGTGGCCAGTCAAAGCAATTTGACCTCAAAGCTAGCGTTCATAATTATGTGCCTTTCTAGTGCCGGTCGAGCCTCTTCACCAAATACACTCACTTGTTGCTGAGCCATCAAAACAAAATACCCCATTCTCTGGCAAATAGCTTCAGCCAACGCAACCTGCTTCCAATCCTAACCTACGTCCGTGTATACCCTGGGAGAGTAACACGTATTTGTATCCGAATAATGTTCAAGATTTGAGCAGCCTGTTAGGTCTCGGCTCTGCCAAGTCTGAAATGTATACTTCTGATTCATCGACTGCGCTGCTGGTGTTCAATTGCCATTCGAGTCTATCATAGGATTGCTGCAAAAGCCCCAGAGATTATGATCGAAACCCATATTGGGAGTATGTTTTGATTGGAAACACCTGCTCCAGCCACAGCGAATCCCGTTTAGCTGCCTCGGCATTCGAGATGCTCAAACCGGAGCTTTTCCCAAGGGGTTTCAACCCAAGACATCGACACAGCCGCCACAGCGATGCTATGACACGACCACCTCTC